TACTCATACGCAATAGAAATAAACAATCGGTAAAGGGAAAGACGCAAAATCATAAGTCCAAACCCTCCTTATTAAAATAATATTTTATAGTAAAGTTTTGTTACGGTAGATTGGGAATGATTTCTTAATGTACTTTTGCAATTCTGTGGTAATGAAAATAAATGTTTTTGAATAGGGAATGTGTTGCTATTACATTGTCCTAGGTTAAATGTTTGTGTGGTAGAAAAAAATGCCTTGTGCTCATAATTTGAGTTAAGGAAAATTTGCTTATACTTTTTCATTCTGAATTTGTAGTTAACTATCAATATATTTTGTGGTTTCTCTCCATGCGTTTTAACAATGTAACTTTATTAGTAAGAAATGCTGTGAATTGTTGAATTGAATTTTATTAAGTTTTTACCATACCTATTTGAAGAAATGGTTATAATTGGGGGCAGGCTTTCTCTTCAATGTACTCTGTGTAACAGTTAATAGTACTGCAATACATTCATTATGTTGAGACTTGTTTAGGACTGAACCAAAAAAAAATTAGTGAAATTCTGTATTTGGCAAAGTTATAACTAAGATGATTGTTTATTTAAACTTATTTAACAATTTCATATAATTGGCTGAAAGTTGTGTTTTATACATTTATTACTTTCGTGTTAATTCTGAATTTGCAGTTTCATTAGAACTGTAGATATCTTAGTAATATTAGTTCTTCACCTGTTTTGATTTGACGAGAGATACTTTTGTCATGGCATGCCTTCTGAAGTGTTTATCAGGTTTGTGGGGGAAATTGACGTTTACCGAAAAAATGGCAAATGAAGGAGTACGAAGATGCAAATTATAATGTATATGATAAAATTAAGTTTTTAGATTGTGTACCAGGAATAGAATAATAACAGTAATTACCATATATGACGATTCATATATTTCACGAAATAAAGCACAGTTGCATGCTGCATTTTTCTTGTGGGGGTATTGAAATTGAAAGATACAAAGCACTTTTAAACTTATTGTGGATTTTAATTTAGTGGGAATGGTGTTTTTCTGGTGATTGATAATGATTAATGAGCACCTATAGCCTAATATCTATTTGCTGAGATTCAGAGGGCTTTACTGTTATTAGAAGGGTGGCCCTGATTGGACCTCTGCAGAAATACATTGGACAAGTTTTTAATTTACACCTTTCGTAAGTTTTGTGTGTCTTGCATTGTGAAGACCTGACCTTTGATAATGGATCTCATTGACTATAAGTCCTGAGTTATGAGGAAGGAGCTGAATTATTAATCTATTGAGTTAGTGATTTATCTGCGGCATTTCAGCTCATGTGTCACCAGCCTTTGCAGTTTCTTTAAATTCTTAAAAATGTCAGAGCGCAATATTTGAATAAAAGATATTTTGAAGCTGGGAGGAAGACCAAGTTGAATAAAAGGGTGTTGATGGTAAGGATGAGGGCGGTGGCGTTTTGGGTGTTCCAGGATCTTGCCTGCTTTGGTGATGTTTGTGTTCGTCAAAGCAAGAGATGTTAGAGTGTGGAGTGCTTTTCCATATTGTACACCTAGTGTACAAGTGCAGGGTCAGCTGCATTATCATTGCATCTGGTATCTCTGAAATTCCCAGGAATATTTGTACTGAAGGAGCTCCTTGTTTGAATGGTTCCACGGTGGTCTTCAATGTTCATATGATCAGGCAGGTGCAGCATTGTTTCACTGTTCTGTTTGAAGGGCTGAAATTTTTCATAGTACTCTGAAGTGTCAGATTTGATTATGTGCTCCAGTTCTGGAGAGGTTTTTGAACCCAGAGCCTTCTAATTGGAAAATGTGCACTATCAAGTGAAACAAAACTGCTTAACTATGACTTTTTCTATTCTGTGCTAAAAGTGTGACTTATTAAAAGAACATTGAGCTAGGTAGCAGCATTATTTTTTCCTTCTATCCCAAAGATACTAGTTAAGATTTCATAAATGAAGGCAATGCTTTGCTAGCAATCCAAGTGGCTATTTGTTATGTTGCTTTTGAATTACTCTTTTTTTTGTTAACAGTGTCTGATGCAAGTTTGATTTGCTGTGTAATTAAACAAAGTTGTGGTCCATTCTAAAATACAGATGTCTAAATTACCAAAATGTTGATAGCTTGCAATTAGAAACCACAAGTTTATTTTGTTTCTCCTTTCTCCTTTTCCACTTCAAACCAACAATGTAGTTGTGTTTTTTTGAGATCAGTTTCCTCAGCACAAGCCAGAAATTGTGGTGAAAATTTCCAGGCTTAAAAACCTGGTTGCATTTTTGACCTGTTAGACGTGTGGTTTTCCTGTCAATCCTCCAATTGTCGATCATGTGCTGGGTTCCCAGTGTTGCAGGAATGGTTCACTTGCTGTTTGTTTTTCTCAAAGTCAAGTTGCCCGTTATTAATGTTATTGGCTAACTGCCAGGAGTCATCTCAGAGTAGCTTGGTGAAGATTTTCTCTTTTTTTTTTTAACATGCTTGGCATCGGCTCTGCGCTTCCCTTGAGAATGATGGATGAGATGAGAAACTTGCTTTTCCTCCGCCTCATGGTATTGCATTGCCTTTCCTACTACATTAGACAGAAACCTGTCTCTATAAGTGAGGAAAGTGAATGTTGGATTATAACATCTTGCATGCTTTGATAAACAGGTTTCTTTAAAGTAATGGTTAATGATTTATAATAGTTAGAGTAGAAAGACATTATACACTTATTAGCGCTGAAAATAACCTTATATATGTCTGGAATATAGTGCCCTATTCTGGTCATCACATTTCAGATTAGACATGGAAACCTTGGACAGAATGCTGAAGAGATTCACTAGCAAGGCTCCAGGGATGAGAGATTAGTTACATTGGTAGCTGTGCTCTTCTTAGAGCACAGAAGGCTGAGAAGACTTCAAACTTCTTACAATTATGAAGGATTTATAAAGATTGAAGAAAGAAACATCTCCAGTAGCTCAGTGGTTGATCATCAGAGGGCACATTTTAGGTGACAAAAGTTGTATTTTTATGTAACAAATGTCAAGTGTTTTGAATATTCTGCCTAATGGGATGGATATCAATTCAATGGTAGCCCTCAGAAGGAACTTGGATAACTACTTGACGGAAACTGACAGGGAAAGAGGAGGGGAGAGGATCTAATGCAGTTACTTCGAGTGTGTGTGTCCAGACCTGATGGGCTGAATGGCTTCCATTAGTGCTTCATTCTTCAATGATCCTAAAGCTGTTTGATACAACAAGGCCAGCTGGAAGGGAACAGAAAGAAAAAACTTGCAGTAATGCAGCATCTTTCACATCCTGAACACATCACAAAGCTTCATTATTTATATTATTTTTATAATTATATTAGATTATTTTTAAGTGCTCCTGTTTTATTAGTAAATGTAACAACCATTATGTGACCAAAAAGGCCTTAGAACAGCAAATGAATGACCAGATAATTTGATTTTATTGATATTTGAGAGAGGGAGTCTGTCAAAGCCACACTTCTTTTGAATAGTGCCATGGCACTTTTGTGTTCATCTATACAGACTGTGCATCAGTTTATGGTAG